AAAATCTATAAGCCTTTCATACGTCTACTTGAGGTAGTTTTTCAAAGGGCACATTCATACACTTTTGCATTCACCCTCTTACGGTAAACTTTAGTATAAAGAGAAAATTTTTGTAAGTCTAGACTCACTACAACTCGATATAGGCCGTCAACATCTCATATATATATATATCCTAGACCTTACCCTCTTCACGATCTTATTGAATCACACCTCCCACTTTATAGCATTACTATCTCTGTCTTCAATTTACTTTTAACCAAATTTTTTACGATAGTTTCGTATTTTCGCTATTTGCTTTTAAAAGAAAAATATTAATGATTAAAAAAGTAATTAAACCCTTTTCTCCTTTTTTTTGTGTCATTCAAAGCTAGTTTAAAATTCATCTAGGGCATTATTGAATAGGGCCTATTACCCCTGCTTATTGACGTTAGTGACTTATTTAAAAGTGTCTGATAAAAGAGTTTAAGGGATTTAGGAGGGAGTGACACACTTTTGAAGAGTAGTTTAAGTATGTCTTTCTTTGTTTACTAGATTAATTAATTAATTAAGTATCTTGAAAGAAAAGAGATATAAAGTTTTCTTCTTTCTTTCCTTAATTTAAGTCAATTTTTGTATAAACAATGAAAAGAATGAGAGAAGATAAGAAGAAAGCGTTGTTTTAAATTTACATATAGGATTTAATAAAAAAAACTATTGTAGAGACATCTGTTTAAAACAGTACTGATCCGTTGAACTATAAAGCTAAGCCATTCATTCAAGAACAAACATTTGACAATACTATTCCTTCGCTGACGTCACGTGATAAAATTATACTGTACTTATATTTACTCATTTTAAAAAGAAACTCCTACGCTTAATTCCCAGGTCTTCTAATATAGGACTTTTCTGTCTCTCTCTGTCTCTGTCTCTCTCTCTCTCTTTCTATATTTATGCCATTATCGATAACAATAGACCATATTTTTTTTAAAGAATAAAAATTGTTTATTGCTAGCCATCTCCATTAGATTCGAAGAGTATTTATACAATATACTGTATATTACATTGTATATTGTAATTTACATATAGTGTAAGAGGTATATACAGTAATGTTGTACATACTAATATAATACATATTCTCATTTTTTACTTATGATAACGGGATCGTTTTGATAGAATTTTTATTAGTGATTAACAATAAAGCAATGAATAAATTATGAAACTTTATCGCTTTTTATTCCGGTAATTATAAAGTTTTATTGAAGAATTTTAGTACATCTCAATAATAAGAAGTGGGTTATGCAAGTAATTAGGCATATACGTTTATGTTAGTATCTCTTTTTTACATATCTCAGAATTTTATATTATATTCTAGTTCTAAATATATAGGCCTTACTCATAAATATGCATATTATTAGTGCATAATTTCGCTTTAATGAATAACAATTGAATAGTTCAGAAAAGAAAGGCATAACGATTACAATACCTCCCTCAAAGAATAGAATTATAATAAATCTTTTAATATTATCTTTGATAATAATAAAAAATAGATAAAGTGACAAAATTACTTAAAAAGTAATAACATATATGGTTATTATATCTCTCCCGTAGATGGCGCTATTACAGATAAAGAATCTTCTCTGCACTCTGTGTCTGTATCTTTAAAAGATTAACAGGAAATTATAATACATCGTTTCTCATGCAAATGCCTGAGCAAGTGTTATATCTCAACATATAAGACTATACAACTCTATCGCACCGAAGTCATGATTATCTTTAATAAATGTATGTATAATTTGTCTATATTTTGAAAAATTTACATTCCATTTTTGTTAATTAATAATGGATTTTTTTTTAATTGTTCCTCATTTAACAAAAAAAAATCAATTAATTAATTATTTTCTATTCTCCTTTTATATGTATTCCCCATTTATTCTCATTTCCCTCCCCCTCTCCCTTCTCCCACTCCTCCCACTTGTATCCTACTCCCTATCCATTTTGGTACTCTTTTTCTTTTTTTTTCTCATCAACTTTTTCCTATGGAATATTCTAAAGAAGATTGAAAGGTGATTTTTGAAACAAATATAATAAAAGTTATCTATTTTCTCTTGTATTTTTTCGATAGTCAAAATTTTTAAGAGGAAATGAGATTTTGGTGTTAAAAGAACACTTAAAAATTTGTTTCTTATCTAATTAAAAATAAAAATAAACGAATTACGTCACAAGGTATCTCTGGAATACAATGTTTTTGATAACTTATCTACTCAACTTGTTTCGTATCATTAAAGAATGAAAAAAACTGAAAAGTCGTTTTAAATAATATAAAGTCACAATGATTAATGTTATATTGCTATTATCCATTCCTATCACTTATAGAAAGCACTTTGTAACAATTTATATACTCTTTTAGATGATTTCTTTTTTTAAAAAAACCTGTATGTTTTTTTTACTCTTATTCTTTCTTTTGCAACGTTAAATCTTAATAGAAAACAATACTATTGTTTATATTTTCAACATTCGTAAATAGGAATGGGAATGAGATTAGGAGGAAACAAGTCATGCCAAATACTTTACGAGAAGCAAACTGTAATCCAGCAACTGTGAGCGAAGATGAAGAGGAAAAAAGTATGTTTATATTAAATTCCATTAAATATGTGTTAATATATATAGAGTATAGTTATACTCTATGTTTTGATATTATATAATTAAAGAAGAACTAATAATCAGTCGGCAGGGAATTATACGTTACGAGTACAAAATTTTTTGGAGATACGCAGAAAATTCTCAAAGAAAGGTAAGAGAGAGAGAGAGAGAGAGAGAGAGAGAGAGAGTAGCAGTTTTGTTTATTATTATTTGGCTGTTGTTATCCTAATTTTTAAGTACAGTACTGTATATTTCATATATATGTATATATATATATATACAGTATATATATTTTATATATACAGTTTATACTATATAAGGACACTTCCGGGCTTCCTTTCAAAGTAGCCTGTTGATTTCTTTGTAGTTGTATAAATGTAATTGTTATGTTTTATACATTGTTCACGATTACTGTATGTTTTATACATAATGCATATACTGTATATTGAATAACTTTGCTTTCACTATAGATGGTTATACCCAGAACTGAATAGAACAATAGCTGAAAAAAGTTTACAACTTGCAGCAGAACCTGGAACTTTCCTTGTAAGAGGAAGTTCACATACATCAAGTGGCTATGTATTGTCAGTTCTACAAATAAGCCAAATTTCAAAAAGCTTATGTGTAAACAATTATAAAATTGAAAAATGTGACGACGAAAAGTATTATTTAGTTAAAATATTCTGGATAAAATTTTCAAGTTTACCAACATTACTATGCTATTTTTCAAGTAAGTTTTACTGTATTTTGAATGCATTAATTTCATATATCTCCCATTAATTATAGTAGGTTAACACGTGCAAAAAACAATTAATAGTGATTTCAATCAGTTTTTAACTCTTTCTCTCTCTCTCTCTCTCTCTCTCTCCATCATTAACAATAATTAAAAAATTACGTTTTTAATTATAGCTTTATATTTCATTCTTTATGTTTTTCATTCCTTTTTTTATGTATAGTTAAACTGCCCTAAATAATAAGCGATGTATTATATATAAAGATTAATTTGGAGATATATTATATAGCAACATAATTATAGCCTAAATTTTATTATTTCAAGTGGATAAAAATACGTAATGTGGGAGAGTCAATTTGAAGATAATAGGCTTAGTTGTTAGACAATTTGCATATATCGTAGGCGTACGTAGTAACAATATCGATGGAAAATGATGTTCTAATGTATAAATATAATTTAGTGGAATGATAAAAAGATGATATTTCAATGAAATGCTTTTTACCCTAGCTCGAAATACTGGATTAGGTAGTCATTTGAAGAATCCATGTCCGTTGGCTTATATTCAAATGGCTATGCAATCTGAAAACGACGAGAAATGCCAATTTTCCACTATAACATCTGTTGTACAAAACCCTGTTCCAATTCAACGAAACAGCAGAGAAGAAAAGAGACATATTTTAACTAGATGTATGAAAAATGATAAGACAAATATCAAAAAGACTTTTAAAGAAAATGAAGAAAAGAAAATGTCTTCTTTAAAAAAGAAGATATTTTGCTGTTTTTCTTAACATCATAGAAGAGAAGAAAAGATGGCAAACAATAAAGAAAATATTATCCTTGTTTTAAAATGAAATTTATTAAAAATGGGAAAAAAAAGAAGGATTATATTATTATTTAAACGTTTTCTTCTCTCTTACTACATAAACAATAATTAATATTAAAACTATATATAATAATATATTGTATATTTATATCTATATATGAAAATATGCAGTATCTCTATATTGTTATTTTTTTTCTTCCTAACCCTTACTCTATCTCTCTATCCCTCTATTTGTTAAAAGAAGGAGGAAAGGAACTTTTCCGCGAGTATTTTGTTAATATTTTTTTATACAAGATATTAAATACTAAAAACACTATGGTTTATAATAATAAAAGAGCAAAGCACAATAGAAAAGCGACGCTAACCTATTTATTCATCTTTAATATTATAATAATATATGAGTATATAGATATATATATATATACATAGAGATATTTGAATATCTATAAGAAGGAAAAAAATCAATTAAGATATAAAGTTAATTAGGAAAATAGATATTTTTATTTTTTTATTAAAAGCAGGATGATCTTCGTTCCACTCTATTAATTTGATTTAATAGCCATAACTAGGCTAATAGAAGAAATAATAATAATAGTTCTTTGTTTACTTATTAAAGAAATGATTAATTAATTTTTGTTTTGTTCTTATACAATTAATTAGTTTTTGATTAATGAGAAGGATAAAACTATAAATTTACATAAGGTCACTATAAAGTACTTGATACACTATATATATAGACAGTGTATATACTGTATATTTATAGTATATATACACTTTATATATATATATATATATAATAAATAAATATTATTCAATTAAACTTTATTTTTACTTTAATAAATCTTCTTTCTTTTTCTTCTATGTTTCATATTTGTTTCTGTAAATATATCCGATTCAATTTCATCCATAGCGCTTTGAACTTTTCTCTCAACTTCCGCTTCTGTGCTATTTTTAGGCCTATCGATGCCATCGTTAATTCCAAGAAGTCTTGATGAAACTTTGACGGTTTGAGTAGAGGCATTAGGTCTCTTAATATATTGCTTTTTGCCGTAATTGGTCAAATAACGATCATATAAATTCTCAAAGCTTATAGCAGGTAATTTTGTTTTTTTATTCTCAAAGTGTCTATCTAGAATACTTTGAACGGATTCCATATCTTTCTTATGTCCCTTTTTCCCTGCTTCTTTAAGTTTATTTGCCGTTCTTATAATTATTCTACTAAGTAATTTCATAATATCTAAATCTTTTCCATCTGTTAAAAGATGATCAATATTTTCATAATTCTTTAAAAACATCTTTCTTAGCCTTAGGTAGTAAAATTCTGTACTATCCAATCTTTCTTTGCCTTTTAAATCCTTTTCCTTTAGACTTTCAAGTAGATTCTTCTCTCCTTCATCTTTCCAAACTGTATTTGGTACGTAATCTGGTTTTGTAGGCTGCAACTTCAAACTTTTTTCAGAGACTGTTACTTGACTACCAGACATACTATCAACATTTTCAACTTGAATGTACATATAATATATATATATATACAGTATATATATATATATATATATATATTTATATAATTATTTATAGATAGATATATTTGATAAGTTAATTATGAATTAATTAATAACTTATTATTTAATTTATATTACTTTCTCGTTGAATTGAATTTGAAGCTCCTTCTTTAACATCCATTTCATAATTATTCCCGTCTCTTCCTCTTTCTCGTTCTTTCCAATTACCTTTATCTTCTTTTAAAATATATTCGTTCTTATCAATATTTTCATCAATCTTATTATTATCGTCGTCAATATCAGTATCACCATCATCTCCAACGTCATCGTCGTCATCATCGTTGTCTTCGTCGTAAATGCCGTGTTCAGTTTGGTCGTCGTTTTCTTTCACGCCCATATTTTTATATGTAAACTCTTTATTCTTTCTCCTTAATAAAAGATTAAATTTTTCATCTCTTCTATTAATATTCGCCTTTCGTTTATAATAGAAATCATCACTTTCCGTATAAAAACAACTTCGTATAAAACTACGAAGTCTATTAAAAGAATTTCTGAGACAATCAGTTTTTTTTGATCTAATAGTCCTGTCCTTTAAATACATTGTACCTTATCATAAATTAGAGCATTTCGTGAGTAAAGTACAGAAGGTTAGAAAGATTAAAGAAAGATGTCAAGAATGAAGTAAAAAAAAGAAGAATAAGAAGAAATAGGAAAAAGATGCTAACCCTTTGAGTGTTTATTTTCTCTATATAGAGTTTATTTTTAATTCTTTAGAAAGCGGAAGAAAGAAGATTGTTAGAGAAATTTTTAAAAAAGATAAATGATGTTTATAAATATAAAAACAATAAGAAATATATACTATATGTACTGTATATATATGTTATTAGTTGTGGTTTGGTTTTATTATTACTATACTCTTTAAGAACAATGAATAATGAAAAAAAAGAAAAGAAAAAGAGCATTATCAACAAAAAAATGTCATCAATTCGTTGGTATATTTTAGTTTATCCATTTTTATTTCTAGTCAGTTCATTTCCTATACACTTTGCGAAATTGAGTTCTTTAAAACCTTTATTTTCATATTTTGCCATCTATAAGTGTATTTATCTTGACTTCTTTATGTCTTAGTCTCCTCTTATGGATAAAATAGACTGTAAAAGCCAAAATTCCTGAAAATGTTTGAATTACTCCTGCAAGTAAAAAACTGGCGTCAGTATTTCCAGTAAAATCGCATAATTGCCCTGATATGGCAATACTGGATAGAAAAGAAAATCCGTGAGCTGTTGTAAGTAGTCCAACTGCTTTGGGCATTTTATTTATTCCAACTAAGTCAGCACCAACGGAAGCAAATAAGGCCATAAAGAACGCTTTAATAAGATGAAAAAATATTTAAAGTACAAACATCTTGTAATATCTATAAACAATACATTTAGATATTTAACTATATACCGGAAAAAAATCCTATTAGCGATGAATAAACCATTAAGAGGACGAATGTATTTAGCAAGGTCGAAAAGGCGGACAATAGTCCACCGACAAGAGACGACGAAGCAAACAGTAGACGTCTGTTGAACCATGGTTTATCGGCACAATATCCAACAATAGGTCTACCAATGCATGAACAAGCCCCTAGAGTGGATACTAATGCTGCACCTTTGGTTTTACTTATTTTTAGCGTTTCGGCTTTAGTAGGTAGAAGAATAAGTGGTAGAACGTGACCAAAGAGTAGGCAAAAATTAGCAACACAGTAAACCATAAAAAGCCAATCTTTGCATAATGTAAAGTCGCAAAGTTTAAATGTTATATTTTTTTTCTCTTGAACCTGTTACAAAGGTAAAAGAATAAAGTACAAATTATATTTGTTTATTCAATATTATTACATTTTCAAAATGATTGTTCTTAATTTCTTATCTAAACTATGAATTTAATATACAAAATAACCTTTGAATGTTATTGCAAAATTCTTTATAGGCAATTACATAAATAAATATCTATTACATTGTATCTTTACGATCTTTTCAAAGAATTTGTTCAATGTAGACAATGTATAGGATTATTTAGTGGAAATACAGATATTAATGTTACTAAAAATAGAACATCAAATGAAACCAAGGTACGCTTATGATAGGGATAAGGCGGTGTGGTTAGATACAAATGAAATAAAATAAGAACCTCTAATTCTTTTTTAACCTGTTCTTCAATGGGCTTTTTTTCTTTAGGTGGGGGTCGAAGTAGTAGGGCAATAACTAAACCATTCAATTGAATTCCAGCAATAACGAACATGGCGCCTCTCCACGCAAAAGTAAAAGATAGGAATCTAGCAATTGGTCCCCAAATAAATATACCAAAACTCATTCCAAACATAACAATAGACAACGCTAACGACTTTCTTTTGCTGAACCATTGAGATGCTGCAACGTGAGAGCTAACAGCATAACAATTAAATCCAATACCAGCCAATATACCCAAGCTAAAGTATTGAATGTTTACGTTCTTAGGTAGTGAGATTTCTTAATAAGATTTATATTCATTGTAAAAATTAAAAGCATAAGAAGAGACCGGTGATAAACTAAATGTTTCCTTTCTGTCAGTTTTTTAAAAATGGCCATAAATTAGGTTTTGAACATTTAATGGCAATAGGAAATAGGTTATACCAACTTTCAATCGTCTTTAAGCCCCAAAATGTTACTTATATTAATATATTTTATAGATATATAGATATTTCTTTTACTGAGAAAGATAATTCTAATTATTTAATCTCACTACCCTAACGAAGGCACTTAATAAATAACCAGTAGAAATCATTAATGATCCAACAATTACAACTTTTCTACAACCATATCTGTCTATAAAATTTCCAGTAAAGGCTCCACTAACACCGCAGAACGTCGCTCCGATAGCACCAATCCACGCTATCCTTCCGGTTGAATACGCCGTTGTTTCCGTAATATCGACTAGAAATATACCGAATGATGTCAATAAACACGAATACAGTATTTGCAAGAGGCATGTTGCCATCATCACTACCCAAGCATATCCTTTGTCCATAACTCGTTATTAAGAAACAAGAAATGAAGAAAATCTGCAGATAACGGACTATAAACAGTCCCAGAGGCTAAAGGTTCTTCAGTACTAGGAATGATTAGATTGACAACTATCCAAAGGTTAAATTACTTCAGGTCAAATCGATGTACCCTAATTCTAGAAATAATAACATAAAATTATATGTAGTCCATGTGGGAATGCTGTAAATCAGATCAATAGCTTTAAATAGGCCTGCTTTAGTGTTACACACGTTTTTTTATTTAGTTGTAGAGCAGAGGGCGCTGAGAAACTTAAAGTATTCATAGCAATAAAAAAATTATTCTAAGAATAGCTAATACAGGTAATAATAAAATGTTACAATCAATGAATTAAAAAAATAAACTACGAAATACACATACTGAATATACTGTATATCGTTATTCACTAGGGCAAGCTTTCATAATAATAGTTATACCATCATTCTATTCCTCCCTAAAAGCTGGAAATAGAGAGGTTTATTATAATTTATTAAATCACTAAAACAATAACAAAGATAAGTTGACATTCTTTCAAATATATTTATTTATTAACGTGATCTTTGTAAAATGACTTGATAATTCTATAGTATAAGAGTTGTTTATCAATTAGTATCATTAAACTTACACCTTTCAAAAGAAACCTTTTCCAGATAATATATGAATAATATACTATGATATATTTATATATTCTTACTATTAATACAGATTATATATTACTAAATACGAAATACAGGATTGGGTATTTCATATATATAAAGATATAAACATATACTGTATATACAGTATATATGAATACACTTGTATAAAATATCTCTTTACAAAATTAATCGCTGCTAATCTCGAATCAAAAGATAACTATTCTGTTTTTTTCCATCTATTAAAAATTTACTTTAAATAGTCTTTAACAAGAGTAAAAGAACATACGTCCTAGTAACTCTAATAAGGTTAATGAACTCATATTTCGTATTGTACAGAAAGTAAGATGTTTTGTAAAGAAAGGGAAAGATGAGAGATTGACTATAAAAGAAAGTAAAAGCGCAGACTGCTTATATATATATACAAACAAACAAACAAACATACAAACATACATAAATACACATACATACATATACATATTTTAATATTGTCGTCTTTTTATACGAAGAATCATTGTTTATCTCTGTAGTCTTTGTTAATGTTTAATAAAGTAATGCTACAACGATATGCCATTGTCACTTTGTTATATTTAAGAAATATGTCAAATGATAACAAATAAAACAAACCCCTTTACTATTCTGTATGTATTATATTCTTCAATACAAAATGGTCTACAGAAGAAGATAAACACTTACAAATTGAATACAAATGTATATATATATATATATATTTATATATATTTATATATATTTTGACAATTAAGCACAATCTAAGCGGAAATGAATAGTAAAAGAAAGACAGATTTTCTATAGAACAGAAACTAGCGTCTTTAAAATTATTCTTTCTCTCAATCCAAAGATTGGAAGGAATATAATTAGAAAATATAGAGTAAGACTAAACAGGAAATTACTCAGATGGACCTTACATTATATGGACCGATTATTGAGTGGATGTTAATGTATGAAAAACGTCTTTATACATAATTTTAATATTTATTTTGCTACTCATATATTTATGTTTCTTATGAAATTGTCATCATTATAATATATGTTACTGAGCGCTTCTTTAAAATTACTATTTCTTATTAAATAATTCAATATGATTAACTTTTTAATAAAGAATATAAGCCTATTAAGATTACTTTGTTTACACTTATTTTGTATACTAAGTTTCAAAGATTATAAGAAATCTTATTAGTAAAAAAAATATGCTTTTTTCTTGTTTCTTGTATTCGAAAACGTAAATATACTTGTAAATTTTATACAAGTATATAATATGCAAATGATCACCTAATGAGAATTAACTTCCGCAGGTTCGTAAAGATTTAATGAACCAAATCATTGAGCTAAATTTACAACTTATTAAGAACTTACATACCACGCCGCCTTTGCAAGAAGTTTTCCTTACAAAGATAACCTCAAGATGGAAGCAGATGTTTGTTTAACTATCAAACAACACATCTATAGTTTAAAATAAGAGTATTTTTCATAGTTATTTTTGTATTAGTTTGTCACGTGTACAAATAGAAAAGACCCTTAGATAGAAATAAAAAGCTTGGTAGTAAAAATAAAAGATTGGTCTAGATTAAAAATTTATCAATGATGTTATTAATTAGCCAAGTATCACTTATGCGTAGATGGTCGTCTTCAACAGATAAAAAATGCAATTGTCCTTTATTATCCATCTCTTTTAAACCAAGTTTGTCCTGAATATATATATCGCTTTCTTTTAAAGTGAATGTTTCATTAACACTTCCTCTTTTATAAAAACCAAACCACTGAAAAGCATCATGATAGTTTAATGAACTTTTTCTTAAAAGAATGTTTATTAAAGCGTCTAACCTCAGATATTTTTGGTTGGACCATAGTGTCTTTATTAAACATAACCATAACAAAATTGTTTAATTTTTGTAAATTTTCTTTATAGCTCTCATTGATTTTCTATAAAAAGAGAAAGTATTGTGTTTATATATACAGTATATCTATATCTGAATATTATAAATGAATTATATAATATATTTACCCTTTCTTGATTAATATCAGCTAGAAAGATACTATATTTCTTATATTCATCTTCGTTTAAAGGATCATGCCAATATTCAGCTTGTGTAATACTAGACAAAAATATCTTATTAGAATAAGTAATTGTTCATATACTGTATGTATAAATGTACTTACTGATTTTGAATAAAACTAACATATGCACCGTAATTCAGCATTTTTCTTACGTAATTACAAATAGAACTTTTTCCTGGACAGTGTGGAATACCGTAGACGCCTTGGTGTTGTCCACCAATTGATATAAGATTCTTCATTGGTGGAGTTGGACATCGTTGAGCAATAGCTCTCCTAAAAAGAGATTGTTAGAAAGTATAGTTATAAATCATTTATGAATATTGAATATTATACTTACAAGAATTGTCCTCCTTGAGAAAAACCCATAGCATTGTAGCCATTCTCTAATTTCTTATCACTTTTCAACTTTTTACAAACAAGATCAACTTGATCATTTGCATTCATTAAAAATCCATTTTCTGTATCCTTTTTAGTAAAAATATTATTCTTCCTTATTATCAATCATTAAGGGGAAAAATTATCTTACCTCTATAACATTGCTGCCAATTTCAAGCGATCTAACGTAAACACCGGTTATTTGTTTCTCTAGCAATGATTTTATTGATCCCATACTCAATGGATTACAGCAGCTATCACCTATTCAATTACATGTTTTCCAATTTAAAGTTTATACTCACTCCTTAACTTTTCAATTAAATAAGTATATAACAGGTTTATTGTATAGTTTTTATTTACCCATTCCATGCCATAGAACGATTGGTGTTGCATCTTTTGATTCTACCTTATATATTGTCGATACTATGATTAATAGACATAAAGTATTCCATAATTTCTTCATAGCTAAAGATAAACAAAATATTCTCTTGATTATTAGTCACTGGATAGGCCTAAGATACATATATATATATGTATTCATCTATATATATTTATATTTATTTATCAGCTATAAGCGATTTTTTCGATATGCATTAATCGATTTTGTTGTCTGTCTATTACAAATATTTTTTGATAAATATATCGAATTTATCGTCCGATATCAGCCATATTGTGGACACTGTAAGTTTATGTTTGGATCCTTTTCAATTAGTGAGTTGTCGTTTTTCCCCGACTACTTAAATTTCTCTGAAAAAACCCTATTTCGATTTGGTTTTTACGAATTGCATTAATAAAAATTCAAGAAAATTAATAATGAGTAGACAAATAGATCAAGATGGTTCATATAATCCGCAAAATGCAAATCATACGTCAAAAACTCGAATGGACAATGGGGCATTAGTAATTAAAGTATGTTTTTCTACTTAATAAACTTGTTACATTTAACAAATATTAATATTTTTAGGTAAGATTAGGGGATGACGTGAGACGTATCCCGATTTATAACGAAGATATAACATACGATGAATTAGTACTTATGATGGAGCGAGTTTTTCGAGGCCATTTAAAGAGTAATGACACAATAGTATTGAAATATACAGATGAAGGTATATAGACGAGTTAAAACAATTAATTGATAAAGTTTTAAAAATAAACATATACATATATTTATTTTATATAGATGGCGACTTGATAACTCTTGCTGATAGTGCAGATCTATCATTTGCTATTCAATCTAGTCGGGTGTTAAAATTAACTCTCTTTGGTAAAGTATAAGCATTCAATTCTTAATAGATAAATATAGAAATACGAAGAGACATTAAATATAAATGATATCAAGTTTTTTATAATCAATTATTGACTTCAAAAAATGAGGAATTTTAAAGAAAAACATAAAAGACACGATTCTCTTATCTAAAGTATCTATTGTTTTCATTTGTTTGTTTTTCATTTTTTTAATTGTTTAGTCAACGGCAAACCAAAGAGATTGGAAAGTAACGAAGTTAAACACATTAGAAGTGAATTAAAGAGGATTCGGGACAAGGTGAACAGCTTATTAGATGAATTTGAACCAGCCAACCCTGATGACGAATCGAAATCGACCGCCAAGGCCGAGACTTCGACAATCGCTACCAACGCAGAAAATTCTAAGGCTTCTATTCCTGCACCTTCGGAACCTAAAAATCAAGGTCAATACCCGATAAATAACGCTGCAAGTACTGAATTCGATCCACTGAATAAAACAGAAGAACAGAAACAAAAAGAAAAACTTAGTTCCTCGTTCGGTTACGGTGATACTGTTACCCAAGCCCAAGGTCCAGGTGAGTTTTTATCAAATTTTTCTAAATAATGATTAAAGAACAAATATAAGCTTTTATTTCTTAGCCAGAACAGGTACACCGGATAGCGTCTCCAGCCAAAATTCCCTTCAGCGATCAACTCATTCGACACCCCAGCATGTCCCACAGCCAATAGGAGCTTACCAACCTCCGGCATCTCAACAACAGCAGCACCAACCATATGCTTCAGCTACCCAGCCTCAACAAGTGTACCAGCAAAATATGCAATATTATCATCATCAACAGCAGCAGCAGCAACAACAACAACAACAGCAACAACCACATCAACAGCAATTACCACAACAACAGCAGCCACAACATGCTCAACAAGTAGATATGATATTATTTATGTTGTTCAAAGAACGATACTATATAATATTTTATTCTGATCATTAAGCAGGCTATCCCCCAGCAGATTCAGCAAGTACACTCTTCAGCACAGCCTTCTCCATCAACAAACCAAAGTAACTATTCTCAACCATCGGCTCCACAACATCCTTACCCTTCTCCAAATCCCCAAATGGCGCAATCAAATCCAGGACAACAAATTACGCCTTTTCCACCACAGGGGGCACCAAGTCAAGGACCAGGTGGAACAAATCCATATGCTAAAACTTCTACATTCGTCGGAAGTGGTTATCCAAGAGTACAAGGACAGTTTCCCAACCCTCGAGGGCCAGGATATAACTAATAGAATATTTTATGGATAGCCTAATTTTTTCACAAATGCATCTACTATTTAGCCTTTTTTTCTGCGTAACCGAAGAAAAAACATCACATTTGAATTTCATAGAAAAAGAAAAATATGCTAATATAACAGTAGCATCATTTAAAAATGCTTAATTAATCTTTAATATTATTATTATATATACATTGTTAAAAAATATAAAGTATATATATATATATATATTTATAGTATACTGCAAACTAATTGAAAAAAAAGATTGCAGTTAAAGTGAGGAAAGGATTTTTTTTAAATACATTAATTATTTAAAAACAACTAACCGCTGAAGATTAAGAAATAATAATAACAATATATCTATTTTATTTGTATTATCTAATAAAGCAAAATATCATATTTATATTGCTTTACTCTTGTAATATAACAAAATGTGAAATTATTCTTTATTTTTTAAAAAAAAGTAATGGAAAGAAATAAAAGACGAATTTAGATGATAAAATGTCTCATTTTTCTTGGTTTAAGACTATTTTTAGTATAAGGAAGATTAAAAACTTTTAATATTTATTTTGTTTAGGAGTACTAAACACGTATATGCATAATGCATCTTGTAAACACATATACACATGCATATCTATGTAGACTCATTGTAATAATACGTCAATATGTTATTTTGTAAAAAAAAATTCCATGGTAACCATCAATTTTACGATTGATATACTTTCGATTTTTAATATAAGCTCATTCCAATTTTCCAATGAAAATCGATGCTAAATTTGCATATTGTATCATCTTTAGAGGCTACTGTTTAAACTTTTATTTCTACTGTTTTTTACAGATATTATTAAAACGGTTAATTCATTTACATATATATATATATATATATAGGACATTTCTCTTAAAAAATATATCTAGCACAGGTAGACTATTAGTAGACGGCGCCTGTGTCGTCGTCATTGGTAACTTGAATGCGATCATTTTTCCAAAATGTTTCCTAACGAACGAATACCAACTGTCAGCGAATTTTTAAATGAAAAACTGTAAGACTTTAATAATATCATATTTAATAACGTATTTATGAATAAGAACAAAGGGATGATTAATGTTAACGTTTTTAACAATGGATTATTCTCTTATACGAAGCAAGAGATTAACCTGCTTTTACAATTTATGTCTATCTACAGAGATTCGTATATGAATCGCGAAAGGAGAGAGAAGAAATTCGATCCGGACGGAGTATACAGACAAAAGTCAAGATTGGTATGCAATAGAAATTCTCTATATATTACTTTTTATAATAAAATAAATAAGTTCTATTCAATAATTGAATCATTCTTTTTGTAAATTTCTAGGAACCGTTTGAATTGGCCTGTAAAGTTATTAAAACAAAATTAGTTGATGGAGGAGTAACACTCCCTAGGTCGAAATCTCGTCGTTCAAAGTAATAAAGAAAGAGAATAATTCGTTTACATAACAAAATTTCACACCTTTTTTTTATTAAAAAATAAAAACAAAGATCACCAAAGAGATCAAGAATTGTCAATCCACTTTTAATCGATAATTCAAGAAGAGTCGTGAGTAGAGGAGAAGCGAGAAGACTTATTGAAACCGCTAACAAAATATATGTAAGTAAATAATTGATATTATACATAGAATTTTTAAAATCGGATTTTAACAGACAATAAAAAGAAATCTATTTAGGTGGGTGTACTAAAACTGAGGGGGCGGAGTTTAATACAAACCATTTCTAATAGTAGACCAGAGACGAATATTTTCATAAAAAATTTTAAAACTACTAGAATATTTCTATTGTTATATGAAAATATAAAAATATAAATAAATAAATGTCAATAAATAATTTCTAGAAACATAGAAAGACAATTAAATAGAATTGATTTTTGGAGAAAAAGAAACATTAGTAAAAAAATAATGAGGTGAAAAAAAGAAATAAAAAACAAAAAGCCTATTTTTTATTCTTCTATTGTTGTTGTTGTTGTTTTTTTTTTAATTATGATCATTTTTTAAGTATACGAATGTCAATTATCACGCCTACTTAAGATTTTTCAATATAGCTTGTTAAATAACCCCTTATCACTGTGTTTTTATTTTGAGGCAATGACTATTAAGCCTATATGCAACTGAATAGTATTTGTTTAACAAGACAATTAAAGAAGGTATAAATATTTGCAGGAGGCAACTTCGCTAGAGAAAGTCGAGAAAATTCACAGGTACAGACCGGATCGAAGGTATTTAATAAGCCTATATTATAATTTATCTAAATTAAATATTAACAAAATTATTATTTACTTTTCATCTAGCATTCCGGATTATGTGGAATATGGCAGAGTTCAGAATTATACAAAGCACGTTGGCTCTATACTGAACAGCTCATACTATATAAAGTATTACTTGGATGAAGGATTAGATAGTTCCGATAAGGGTATTGCTGTTAGGTTGCAAAACATGAAAATACGAAGGAAAAAGCGTGAACAAAAAGCATTACCACATTATAATCCTTTTCAACCTACGACGTGAGTTTAGATTATCTAGTTTATATTTCCTCAAAGACTATATGAATACTTATAGGACTGTAAAACCTGAAAAATCGGTTACTTTCGAAGATCAAGCAAAAAAGACACCACGAGCGGTTACTCCAACATTCGTTCCCCAGCCCCTTGACTCCGATTCGGATCATGACGTTTGGGAGAGAAATTCTATAGAGTGTGAAGTTCAACAAGAATTGGAACAACCGGTGAAAGTCAGAAAAATCCGTTTGGGAAAGCGTAATGAAAATGAAAGTCAAAAGATAGGAGAAATCAATGATTCAAACAGTGTACATACTTATGCATCAGTTGAGCATACAATAGGAAACTAATTTGAAGATATGAAATTATAAATTGTCATCGTCAGCAGCTTTTATTTTTCTCTTTCTGAAACTTTCTTTTAGAGTAGTAAAATTTTTATCTAAAACTTAGGCATATAACTATTTTACATAACTGTTGAATAAATTGCAGACGGTTCAAATTCGGTAAACGATTCGTAAATTGTATTTTCTTCAGTGGATGTACAAAGAGGTATGTAAGTCAATGTGTCTTCACTCCATATCTGTGAAAAAAAAAGAAAGAGAAACTTGAATAAACTAAGTTATTCAAAAATCTTCAAAAACAAGTATTTATATTTTTATACCATTGTTAAAATAATTCCTTTTCCGCTATTTGACTTTAAATCAATCAACATAGGAATTGAATTATTTGGTCCTCTAACGAAACCACTAAAAAGGAGTAATTTAATGATTATGTTAATTTTATCAGATACTACGGCGTAACATTCAAATGAAAGTAATATAATACATACATTGGAAGAACACTAAATGATGGTCTAGTTGAAGTAGAAAAGAGGGCTACAAAGGAAGTCTCTCTAAAAAGTACTGCTAATCTTTCACTTGTCCATTTTATATCTCTAACTATACCACCAACTCGAACTTCTTCACCAGACATTGTATTTGTTGTACAAGTAGTAACGTCTATACATTGCATACTTCCTATTTCGCTAGTACAATTCTCAGCATTATGAAACACAATGCAATGTAAATACGGTTGAGAATCATTAGCAAAAATTAAACGATTTTTATTCCAGCAGGCTGCCTAATATTGAAAAAAAGAACAAGCTATTACTATTCCAGTTCATTCTAATATACGTATATATAAAAAGCATTAAAATTTTCTTACAGTCATACTTCCTCTTCCTGATAAACTCCATTTTTCGTATTGCCATGTTTGCGTATCCCAAACTCTGGATGGACAAAAAAATAAAAAAAACCTATTATATGGGGATTTCAATAATAATTCAACACACACACACATACATTATACAATGGCTATCATTAGTGTGAGATAGACAAACATTTTACTATATAAATACAGTAGATTAAAGATAAATCTTTAATTCTATTTGTTTTTTACATTTCAAATATTTAAAGGTATTAATTATTTTTGTCCAATCGAATCTTACCTGAAGAGGCTTGAAGTATAAGATGATAGGAGTCTTGATCCATCGTCTGACCACCTTAACAGCGATACCCCACCGCCAAATCTAGATTTTAAATGAAAAGATTAGGTTAAATAGAAAAAAGTTTTCAGCTATTATATTAATTTAAAAAACCTTTTAAGAGGCTCTCGACGTCCTAATTCAACGTCCCATACCATTACAGAATTATCAATTGGTGACGCTGAAGCAAGTAAATTTCCATATGGATGCCAAACGATGTCGCAAATGGGTTTATGACCTTCGAGGAGTTCCATGTTCGTTGGTCTGGAGGCAAGACTTGTTGGATCTATTTTCCAAATAAGGATACCATTTTCGCATCCAACAGCAAGCACGGAAGCGATGTATGGACGCCAAGCAATCTTACAAACATTTACTTGCTTATTATGTTTAAGTAGAGGAGTAACAGATATAACTTTTGTCTGACAGGAATATATTTTAATAGTATCATCTTTAAAACATATAGCAAGTTTGTCAGCGAAAGTATGCCAATCTAAACATCTAACACTGCCACTTTTCCAATTGTTATTTGTAGATATTTTAGACAAAAGTCGATCATTTGCTATCTACAAAGTAATATGCATAATGTTAAAATATATCATTTATGTTAAAGTCTTACCGGCGAATTTGAGATGTAGGATAAAAGACATTCTATAGATTTTTTAATATAAGATTTCAATTCTAAAACAGAAAAATGGTAATAATTTACTGATTCAATAGAAAAATATATTATTTTACTGGAATTTTCCGGATGATCTTCAAGAACTGAACTAATGATTCCATGAAGGCCATCTTCTTGCCTAAAAAAAAAAAGAACATATCGTACGTGTGTTAAAATGCAAATTTCTAATACCATATTTGCGTCAGGGAAGGTTTGCCTCCACAGTCTAGAAAGGCGCTTTTAGCACTTTCTCTAGACATTGATGGTCTTGATAATTCTTGACTGATATTAACTTGAGGAAAACGTAGACTCTGTTGCAAAGAGAGAATATGAAATTTTGGATGTAAATATTGATTATTTTTACTAACTTTGCCATAATTAATTGCCTCTGCTAGTGGCTCATGGAATAGACTTCCACCCTTTTCGTAAATCGTAACATAGTCTTCACCGGCCGGAGGAGGAAATTGCTTAAGTGAACATATTGAAACAGTTTTACGGTCTTGCATGATTACGATTAAAGCGTTCTGCACGAAAAGTAGACTTCTTTACGTCTTACAATAGATCACAAAGTTTACTTATTTGCTAATTTATACTAAATTTTCACTTAATAATAAATAAGTTCTTTAATCAGTCAATTCTTTAAAGCCGACCAAAATTCTAGTATAATTAGTAGAAGTTTTTTTCCAAAAGATTACCGGTTAAAATAGACCGGAAGTAATAACTTAGAAGGTGGCGTTAGTAGAAAACTAGCGGGAATAGAATCTTTTTTCCTTTTCACACTTAATCTAGAAACTGACTTAAAAATAAATAGCAATAGAAAATACTATGAAAATAATAATAGTTCATATTTGGAATAGATTGATATTTTGCACTTTTCAAACAAAATAAACAGTTTTTCATGGAAAAGCTTGAAAAAGTATGAATATACAGCATGGGAATAGTAAAGTAATATACGAAGATTCTTAACTTTTACAATAGAAGTTTAAGATAAGAAATTAATAAACAATAAAAGAATAGTATTTATATTGGACAAAAGATTGTTTATTCAGCATATATCTATTTGAAAATGTATACATTCATTGAGAAACTTAAGTACTAATTCATTTAAAAATAAACAAAAAATACCTCAGTTGCGCCACCATTAGGTAGGTTATTCAGACACAAATTTGTCACCTTCCTATTCAAATTCACAATGGAAAAACCCGAATTTTTAATTGGGGATTACTTAGCACTTGTTGGATATTTTATCATTACATTTTGCGTTTGTTTATGGGTATAGTATACAGTATTCTTAAATATATATATATATATATAAATACATATATAATAGCATATATAAGTAACAGTATATTTTAACAATGATACTAAACAAGTATCTAGTAAAAAGATGTAATATAACACTAACTATAAACAATGAAGATATTTGAAAAAGAAAATAACCGATAGTTTGTTTCATTTCTTTGTATTTTCATTTATTTAACTTTATTGTTTTTAATTTCTAATTAATATTAGTACAAATATTAATAACTTAAATTTAATTTATACAAAAAGAAGGTACAAATTGAGATAAATATGTAAATTGTAGTTGGAAATTTAAGGAAAATTGAATAGTTTAATCTAGAATGTCTGTAATAATGTATGTAAATAGTAATAAATTCAAAAATAGAATTGAACGGTGCAGAATTTCTTCAACTTACGAAACATAACAGTTAAATTGTATTTGAATAGGAAAATATAATATTTGAACTTTTAACGTATTTAATAGTGTTCTATTTCAGACAAGCTTCAAATCAAATAAAAAAAATGTTCAAGGATACTTTCTGGCGGGGCGAAAGTTACCTTGGTGGGCGGTAAGTTCAATAGAAATTCATATACTGTATAGGTAATAATGCAAACTAATCATCAATATTAATTAAAAAATAATAGGTGGCATTTTCACTTTTTGGAAGTAATATTAGTAGTGAACATTTTATTGGTATGGGTGGAGCTGCAGCATCTACAGGAATAGTAATAATATTATTTGAATGGATAGTTTGTATTGAATTGATTGAACACATGACAATTCACACTGTAATGTACATTTGAAACAGGCAGCGCTTTTATTACTGGTTCTTGGCTGGGTGTTTATGCCAGTTTACATAATGTCAAGTGTTGGTAAAATACATAAATAGAATAGCATAAATCAAATCATATATAAAAGCTACTTGTGATCTCATTTCTAATCCAACTACTTAATTTAACTATTTATAGGTGTCTACACTACCTGAATACTTATCAAAGAGATACGGAGGAAATCGGTTACGCTTAATGTTAAGTCTAATTTTCCTAATAAGCAGTGCTGTAGCATTCCTACCAGTCAGTTTCTTATTATATTAGGAGAATAAATGTTTCTTATTAGTGTCAATATATTTGTATTACTCATAAAGGCTGATCTTCTTAGCGGAAGCTTATTCTTTCAATCTGCTTTGGGGGGTAATATGTACGGTTGGATAATTCTTATTTTGATTGTTTCGATGATTTATACAGTAATAGGTGTTGTAACTTATTTAATACAATGGTTTTATATCATAAACTGACGAATGTATCTTTATGTGTTTAAAGGTGGATTGAAAAGCGTAATTTACACAGATACCGTTCAAGTACTAATTATGATTGCTGGCTCTTTTATTACAGCTATTATTGGCTTAAGAAAGATTGGTGGTATATCAGAACTTTATAGAAAATATACTGACTTAAGCTATTCCAATTTAACTAACTCTTGTTCCATCCCTCCAAAAAACTCGTTAAGCCTTTATAGAAAAGATCTAGAATCGCCATTTCCGGCTGGAGCTATAATGATTAGGACTATATTTGGTGGTTTATTTTATTGGTGTTCGAATCAGATAATAGTCCAAAGAGCGTTGGCTGCTAAAAATCTTAGTAATGCGAAGGGAGGAACAATTCTGGCTGGTTTTTTAAAACTTTCACCATTCCTTCTTATTATTATTCCGGGAATGATGAGTAGAGTATTATATCCTGGTAAGTATAATTAAATGTACTTTTAATATAATTATTCGTCTTTTACATTCTAAAGATATAATTGGATGTTCAACACCTGAGGCTTGTAAAAACGCTTGTGGGCAGGCACTGGGATGTTCGAATTACGCCTATCCGAAAATAGCATTTTCGATACTCCCTTCAGGTTTTCTTCGTGGTCTTATGCTGGCTGGAATGCTATCTGCTGTCGTTAGTTCTGTAACATCTATTTTTAATAGCGTAGCTACAGTGATAGCTTTAGATATTTGGGGGAGAATACGATCAAACGCATCCGAAAGGGAATTTCTTATTGCTGGTAGAATATCTGTGATCATTATAACCATAATAGGAACTTTATGGATACCAATTATGAACTTTAGTAGTGGAGGTCATATGGTGAGGTATCTTTTAACAGTTGTTGGATATTTTGGCGCACCATTGACGGCTGTCTTCCTTGGAGCTATGTTCTTTACACGATCAAACGAACAGGTAACTTTTGTTTAATATTCACTCCAGGCTTAACCTTAAGTGTACAATTTCTATTTTTTTTCTACTTTAGGGTGCCTTTTGGGCAATTTTCATCTCATCTACCCTTGGACTAATAAGATTTACATTGGACACCATCTACGATGCTCCTGGGTGCGGAAAAGCTGATATTAGACCAGGATTCCTTAGACTAATCCATCCTTACTACTTTGCTGGATTTCAAACAATACTCGGTCTAATTGTTATCGCTATTATAGGATTACTATCTGAAAAGCCAGAAAAGAAGCACGTTCGTTGAAAGAAATTTTTAAATAATTAATAACAGAAATTAAGGCTCCAAAACAAGAAAACTATAAGAAAACTAATATACTTTTTACCTATCTTGCAGTTGTACGGATTAACATATTTCCACAGAAATAAAGATCCGATAGAGGATGAGATATTATTTACAGAGAAAAATTCGGATGAAGGTAATGGGATAGAAGAGGAAAGCATTAGAGGGAAAAGAGGAAAAACATCAGCAATTGTTTTAAGCAAGTTATGCTTACTTCCTAAATCATCGAATAGAATTCAAAAAGAAACAATAGAAGATCGTAAGGAACGCTTAAAAGAAAAGAAATGGGAAAAGTATTTATTGAATACATTAGCAATAGCTCTCATAGGAGTGTTACTTTTCCTTTTCATATATTTTAAATGAATATATTTATAGATATATAAATATAAATCTCATGAAAAGACTCTTTTCTACTATTTTGAAAAGGAATCTACATGGAGTAAACATATAAAAGTATTACCTACTTTCTACTATCTCTTCCAGCTTGTCTTAAATTCTTTAAAAATTGATATTAAAATATTCCTCATTGCTATTAAATTAATAAAACTTAAAAAAGAAACCTTTCCTCTCCTATTGAAATAAAAGTTTTGCTTCTTTTTTAATTTGTATTCAGAGTAGAGAGATGTCAAATATTTACAAAATATTTGTCTTACGTATCTTAAGAACCGAATAGAGTTTGTATGCGTCATCCTGTTATTTTAAACCATAAAAATTGTTATAAAATATTTACTAAGATTGTATATATTTATTTATAAAAATTTACCTAAACGTTGGACATAATTCATTATTTTAATGAATTAAGTAGTCATGCATTTAATATTTTAATAAATTAGTCAGTTATATCAGTTTCTTTTATTTAACATTCATGCGTATTATAGTATTGTTTAAGTTCTTCTTTGTAAAAGATAAAGCGGTCATACACATGTGTGGGTGTATCATTGGAGTGTGCTGTTTTTGGAGAGAGAACTTAACAGAAGGCGCAATTTTTTAAATAAAATCACTATTGTTTAAAGATTAAAGTAGAAAAAAGATAATTTACGATCTATATGAGAGAGGAAAAGATTGTGACATTAGAGAGAGAGAGAGAGAGAGAAAGATTGGTTGAAAGACACGAAGAGAGAAAAAAGTCATCTATTTTTTATATTATTCTCATGATAAACTAAATCGTTTGTCCGATTTTATAAAAAATGGATATTAGGCTTTTCAACCGTCACTTAAAATATTATTTTTTACTTAAGATTCTAAATATTAAATATATTAACAATGAGTTTATAGAAAAAAGATTGTATCAAAAGAAACAGGTACTAATGTTCCTCCTTTTACATACAGCAACTTAATTGAGTTACTCTTTGAAATATACTTCTTCTTCCATATTTTTCGTAACAATCAATATACTTTAAAACCTTCAAGGAAGAAAAAAATTACGTTGAAACCAGAACGTTCATTTAACTTAATTTAATTTGAAAAATGGCATAGTTAACGCAAAGTACCTTAAAAGTATAGATATTTAAAATTAACTAGTTAATTACCAGACTAGATGTATCTTTTTTATACATGATTATATACATGTATATAAATTTTATACAGTATATACTACATATGAACATGTTATATATATATATATATATATATATATATACAGTATATTATAGAACTATATTCTCTATACGAACAAAGAAATATGACGTATGTTTAGTTAAATATCATTACAAACTCTTTTTTTTGACACTGATTTCTTTGATATAAATATATTTTCGTTCGTATTAATAACTCAAAGTATTGGAGCTATAAAAGAGAAATATTTGTAAGGTCTCTCAATATATTTCTATATCAATTCTCGTCAAAATAACCTAAGAAATTAGTCTTAAGAAATTGGAAAGTTGTAGCAGAAAAGTTCATATTAAAAGAAATGAAATCATTTTATAATGTTTTATAAAAGGGAAAAAAGAGAATTTTTTCTGGTTTGCTTATATAATAAATGGTAAGAGTAGAATAATTAATATCTATAAATGGTATATTTCAAATACAATGCGCTGTAAATAGATATGAAAAGCTTGTTCATTTCTAGTTAGTTTAGTTGGAAGAATATAACGATTATTGGTCAGTACATGACGTTATAAATTTTGTAAAGAAATAATTTAGAAATTAGCCAACGCTATGTCAGCTCTATTAACTCCCCAGTTTCATAGAATAGTATCTAAGGGAAAAAAACTCCTTTCACTCTGCCTCCCACTGATTAATAATTAATAAATTCCGTGACCTTTCAATAAACGAACTTATTGCCCTCTAACGTACACACATAACGTGTGTAACCTCATGTGATACAAAAGAAGTAGTTCATACTAACTTTTCTTTATATGTCACACTTTTAGCATTATCTTAAGCCGAAATTTTAGAGTCTTTTTAATTGTAGCAAGGCTATTGTTTCTATGTAAATTAGTGTTAATAACTTTTTTTCTTCTTTTCTTTAAATAAACAAGCAACTTCTTTTGGTTTTATATTTCATTGTTTGAAAAACTGCTCTTTTTTGTAATACCGCACAAAACCATTCCTCTTTATAATTCAACGAAACTCCATCGAGCATCAATATATAACTATATGAACTATATGTTCTTTATACTGTATATATTAATATGTATAATGTTTTAATACAAATAGATAGATTCCATAAATTTATATCTTAATTATTATCTTATTTAATTGACTATAAAACGTGCATGATTATGCTTTTTATATAAGCGACACAGAGCCAAGATATACCTTATATTTTAATAAGTCATTATCTATATGCTCAATGAATACACGATACAATAAAAAAAGTCTTTTAACCTTAATTAATCTATGGTATTTCTTTTGCTCGCTCACACTTTGTGGCGCTTTAGTCAATTGCGTAGTTTGTATTTTGACTAAGAATAAAATTAATTATAACTTGGAGAGCAACACATAAACCTATCCCTCTAATTTATAATACATTGTTATCCTATAAGGGAGTACTTATCATATTATCTTTATTATCTTTTACAACCAGAAAATTCCTATAAGGTTTGGCTCAAAGGGGGAAAAATTTCTATATTAAGGTAACAAGAAATATGAAGATAAAAAAAAAGGGGAGAGGGGAAGAGGCAGAGACTAAGGCAATTAAAATAAGGCAATTTTAAGGTATAAAAAGTCTAATTGAAAAAGAGAAAAAATAATAGGGGAGCGTACGGAAAGAGGGGGAGAGCGATAGAAACAGAAAGAGACAGACAAAGAGAGAGTGAGAGAGAGAGAGAGAGAGAGATGAGGGGGGAGAGAGCTGGGAGAGCGCACACGCTAGAAGAAAGGTTGAAAGTGATGAGTAAGAAGAAAGATTCTAGGATGCGAACAAGAAAGGGTCTAAAATGGTTTTATTGCTGATTTGAATCTACTGAAGGAAAGTTGATAATATCTTCGATAATAAAAATAGAATGCTATCAAGAATATTTTCTTATTAGATGTCTAGTTTATATTAAATACGTTATATTTTAAACTTAAAGAGGCTTCGTTTATCTTCATATTGCTTCATTAACGGAAAAGGAAAAGTTGTAAAAAGAGAATAAAAAGCTTTATATGGAACGCAAAAAATAGTAAAAAGACGAAAAGCGATATTCGACGATTAGTTAATATAAAACTATATTTAGAATAGTTAGAATGTTTAGGAGATGATCTCCATAATTAATACTATAAGAATGGTCGAAATATAATTCAGTGCTCCAAGCGCCCCCTAGTTAGGAAACGTCTATCATTCTGAGAAATGACGCCGCGCATCCTTATTCTCTTCTATTTCGGCGTTCTTTTCGCCGCTACGGCTTACTCGTCGGATGAGGACGTGTACAGGCAATATTTTTGTCCAGATGCACCTAAATGTCAGCCAGAGAGCTGTCCAAAATTACCGGACGATTGCGAACCGATTTCACAAGATATCTGCAGTTGTTGTAAAGTTTGTGGGAGAAAAGAAGGAGAATATTGCGGTTTAAGAGCACCTTGTGAAAAAAGTCTGGAGTGTAGACCTAATTTGGGAAGTAATTCGTACGCAACGGAAAGAAGTATTTGCGTTAGAGGTTAGAAAAAGGATGAGTATTTTTAAGTTGGAAAATATATCTATTTTTAATGGCTTTTATATAAACATTCATTAACTTCTTCTTTATTCTGTATTGTCCACAATTGTCTATTGACTAATTGTTAGAAAAAAAAAGCGCTGTTTCTAACAGGCTTCTCTATATTATTGCTTTAAAAGCATAGATAGAGACAGTTTAAACAAAACTTTTAAAAGACGATTAAGTTTAATGTAAGTAGACCAGTATAAATTTATATATATATATATATATATATATATTTATACAGTATATATCTATATATATACATGTTCTTTATACATTATTAAAAAAAAATCAAGATATGAGTAACTTAATAGCAATTAGCATATTATTTACTGAGCATTACTTGAATTATAGCTTCGCATCAGCGTGGAGGCTGCTTGGTTAATAGATACTGTGAATTTATATCCGGGATAGATATGAGAAGACGCAGACTTCATTTAAATTATTTATACATATATTAATATATATATATATATATATATTTTAAACACTTAATAATATCCGCATCCTTATTCTCCGTGTTGAAAGATTTCCTCCAAATTTCCCGATTGCTCAAAGCAGATATTAATTTACTGATTAATCGACTAAAACTTCTGTCTCTCTTTATAAACACTTTGAAGGTTCAGATGACGTATTTTAAACGTATTTTTAGGCTTAAACACAAAGTAGATATCAACATAGTCGCTAAATTACAGATCTAAAAGAAACATGAAAGAATATAATTATACAACAGAAAGACCCCACTCATTTTAAACATACAAGTACAAGATGTTACTTTCTTACCAATTTACCATTCCGACATTTTCGTATGATTCAAAAGCATACAATTTTTTCAACGTTAAGAGATTAAATGAAATTTCCTACAATCAGTTGATAGAGAACGAATGCCTGTAATTTAAAATTAAAATACATCCTCTTTCTCTTTACAATTAATTATTCTATGACTTGTAATAATTTAAAAGTCTTTAATACATTCTTTATACCTTATTACTTCTAATTAATATTTTATCTGTATTTTAAAGATACAAACCCACAATTATATTTCTAATTACAATTTATTAAGATAGAAACTTTAGTATATTTATATCCAAGCTATAAAGTTTACCCAAAAATGGATAAAAATATACCAGTAGTATATTGAGTTTATGTCCTATATAAGGGAAAGGCAGTCACCGAAAACTTCTCTTTGCATAAAATCTATTTGATTTCAAAAGAGTGTTTTCCGTTTGGAGACTAAATCTCTTAGACGTGATGTCGTATTAGAAAGTATATTAATATATAACTCTCAAACTTATATGTAGGTTAATATAATCTTAGTTAAAAACTTTCTACAATATTTAACTGTTACAAATTGAAACTTTTATTAGAGGCAAAAATATGCAAAAAATGTAAAAAATGTTACTTTATAAAGCATCCTCTTTACGTTTTATCTAATAATTTCCGACTAGTTGGAAAATGAAATTTTAACGTTAAAATTTACAGAGAAAAAACTTTTACTTAGGATGAAAGTCTTGAATCTTATATTTTGATGATAATTTATGAATTGTTAGCAAAGTAAGAATTTTGCTTAGAAAAAGTCTTATCATATTTTTGAAATAATTTCATTTCTGCAATTTTCTCAATGAAATAGTATATTACATGCCAATGATAAATTCTAACACTTACATTAGGTGCTCGTCCCTTTCTCTCTCTCTCTCATACACACACTCTGTTTCTCTTTCTTTATGTAACAAACAGCAAAATTATATACATTTTAATTATATCTATAAGTTTTTAACTTCTAATGTTGAAATAGCAAAAGAACAGGAAAGATAAAAATTACATAGCCCTAGCTTCTTATAATCAACTCTCAAAAATAAAGAAAAGAAATGTTTATTTGTCATTTAATAATCTCCTTCCTATGAGTAATAGTAGACTAATTTGAGAACAATAAAGAAGATAGTCTCTATTAGATAGGAGATAATTTTCTTGTCATCTCAATGGTACCATTTTTGTTTGTTTGTTTGTTGCTAAAAGGAATTGGATTTCTCTAACGTCATTAACTCGCTATTGATAGACTGGAATCTTCAATTGATACAATTCTCAGATAATTTTAACATAGAAATTATTTGAAGTTGTTTTTCCTCGATTTTAGTAACTTTCTCTTTATCTCTTTAGATTATATTTTATTATTATTCACCCGCCATCTGTCGATAAGTGAAAACCTTATTGAAGGATCAGTAATTGAGAACATTGTGATTAGTAAGATAAAGTGCCACGATGTTAATTGAAAAGGAAAAATTGATATATTTTCAAACAGAAAATTATCAATTATTATCATTCCTTGGAAGATATGAAGCAAGCTTTTGATAATCTTTCATTAGATCTGAAAAAAGGAGTTGTCTCTTTTAGTAATCAAATGCAAAGAAAGTAACATTTTTTTTCTGGTTAAAAATAGTACCTTTTCCAAAAACAAATTCACATTCAAATTTAGTATAGACGCTTTTAGAAATAGGAATAATCTTGAAGGTAAACTAAGTAATTGATAGAAAATAGGGGGGAGAAAGATAGGAATAGAAAGCATCTTGTCACGTAGAACTACTAAGAAAATTATTACTAATTTTATACAAAATAATATAAATATGCAATATATATTTATATAATTTGTATATCTTTCTATCTTTCTGTTTGTCATTTCCTGCTGTATATCTATGTTGTATTAAGTTTTATTATCTATTGTTTTACATTGTCGTTCTTTTCATCTTTCTGATTTTGTTGCAAAAATATTACTTCTCCTCTCTTCAACTTAACAATTTGTTCAACAATTCAAATGACTACCGGTTTTATTTGATCTTTAGCAAAAATAATATCCAAATATAGACTGGAATTTTTAAAAACAGCTATCTAATTTATATCTATCATACTTATCTCTAAATAACATAATCTTATAGGTTAAGTTTATGAATGACAATAGTTTATAGACGTATGCGGATTGTAAATTTGTTTCGTTTTCCATTAAACATTCACTCTAGCACAGTACTACTTTTTTCGTATGAAAAGATAAAAAACCTATATAATTGATCGGTTTTACATTTGTTTACTAATATTTATCATTAATTGTTTAACTTTACAGTAAACCTTCGTATCTTTTCAGTTAATTTATTAATTAACACGATTTTCTCTTTTTATATGATATATACTATATGTACATTTTTCAACAGGTCTTAATACGAAACAGAGAAGTGCTTTCTTCGGAAAATTTCCATTCAAGAAATAAGAAGAAATAATAACGCCGACCCTTCACTAACCATGTTGAGGCAACGTTAATTCAATTCTAACGTTTATAAACTTATTCTTTATATTTTGTTTGTGTGAAATGCTATTTAATAAGTGACAATAATAAACATGAGACGTTAAATTATACGGTGTAATACGATAAAAATTGGCTAGTATAACGTAATCAACTTGTATTAGAACACTATCCCTTACGATATGTAACAGACATTTCAATTGGTTTATCACCAAGTAGTTTGTGATTGGATAAATAATAAAGCTCAATTTTCAAATATCTCACATAACTTTAGTATTACGATATTTTCTTCGAATGTAGAAAATATTGATTAAACTCTATCTATTGCACAAAATGATTCAATAGAATGTATGATTCATTCTCTCTAATTAATTCTTCTTCCTTTTATCAATTCGAAATTTCCCGCCAACTAACGAATGGTATCCATAAGTGTTGCTGAAGTCCAGTTATTTTCGAAACCTCTTTAAGAAAAACTGAACGAAATGCAATTGCATTTTATTTAACAAGTTAATTTTGAATAAAATTTTGATTAATGATTCTATTAGTAAGACAAAAAATTTTTGAATATCTTTAACTATGATTACGATATAAAAGGTAACATAATCAATTACACGTATTTTCGCTCGAACCTTTCAAGTTTTATATTCTTATTTATAATCGAAAAATATATATCGAATTTTATTAATTCTAATTTTAGTTAAATAATTTAGTAAAGAAATATGAAAAAATCCTTATATTATGTAAAAAAGAAACCATGGCAAAAGTACCGAAGAATGCGGTTTAGGCCTATAAGAAAGTAGGACTGGCTCGACGCCAACTATTCATACGCCAGCCGTGGAGAGTAACAGTAAAAATGGGTTTGATTTTCCTGAAATTTTGACAGAATTCAGACAAAAACAAAAAGGATTCTTGGACCAAATTAAAGACAGTAATATCCTTAAGCATCTAATCGTCGTGTATTTAGTCTATTGGTTAAATAACCGCCCAAAATCGTCGAAAATTCACGACCGACCTATATTCGGTCGTACTACTATATAATCGGCGTCTTGTGCGTCGACGGCGTCTAATTTCACGTCTACTTAGCGTGCTAACGACCGGATAAAGATTGTATTGTGCAAACAAAGGTAAACACATGAAAAATCGCCCGAAAATCGCGGACTACATTTAGTGCATAAATTATGCAAATGAGGTCTCAAATATGGCGCATGTAACTAATTTCAACTGTTTTTTTATGTAAAAACTTGAAAGTTCTCCAACAGAAAATTAACGTACTTCAAATCACTAGATCTGAAATATGTGTAGTAGGATTCTATCTTATGTTACGTTTTTATATTATGTAAGCACCTTTCAATGTTGACGCATTGTTTCTTAATTAATTAGCCAATGTAGTATTTGCAGTTACAAACTTACCTCTAAAACAACCCCAAAGTTTTAACAAAACTTCCTTTGTTTTTTTTTGTGATGTGTCACGTGACAATGACTGCGTTCTATGTACTTTGTCTTAAATGGTTAATATGAACAATGGCCAATTTAGAGTGATTTACACAATGCTGCAATCATAACGAACATTTTTGATAACAACCATTCTTCAGCTTTTCCAGAAAAAGAAACAGCAATAATAGTTAGTTACTAAGAAAATAGTTCGAGGTCACGTGATTAACTTTGGATGGATGGCGGGAAATTCTCTTGCCCTAAAAAACACGTTTTAATAACTTCCTTATTTTTGGTATAAAACTGTTATGTTTATTCATTACGTGATAAAAGGAAATATTTTAAAGAAAAAGATTTTCTTTAACCACAAAAATAACATTTACTGTTAAAGCTAAAACTGATTTTACTGTATACTAATACGTAATAGTTTATGAAGTTATCGAGAAAAATGAATCACAGCTTTTAAGTAGGTCAAATAGAGAATACTTATATAACGAATTTATAATTTGCATAAAACTTATGTTTAATTTATAATATTAAATAGCTAATGTAATTTCTTCAAACTTGTTACGTAGGTGGATGTTTTGAAATGAACAATCGAATTATATCGCGGGCGTTTAGCTGGGAAAGCCTTAGAAAGTACACTTATTCATAAATATGTATATATAGACCTCATGCAACGATTATGATTGACCTTTGGTTTGGAATATTGCTAATCACAGCAAATTTACTAGGACATTTTATCTCACGCTTTTTTGAATGATAATCCTTACATACGAAACCTAGTCATTATTTTGTCCTAAATTGAGTCTCGTGACCTATGACCTCTTTGTTTTAAAATTTGCATACTCTCAAATATTGCCTTCTTTTTTGAGAAACATTGTAAGTAATCTCTATAATGCTTTGCAGTTATGTCTCAAGAGGAGTTAGAGGATGGTGAGCTGGAAGATGGGGAAGTAGAAGATGAACAAATAGAAGAACAGGAACTCGAACCGGAACAAGTTTGTGAAGAAGAAAAGAAAACAGACAAACCAGACGAAGGAACAGATAGCTCAGAAGGTCAAGGACGAGTAAAGAAAAAGAAAAAAAAGAAACATAAACGAAAAAGAGACAAAGAAGAAGAGGAAAGAGTAAGCTTCTGATTTCCTTATGTATTGGCTTTCAAATATATTTATAAGTACTTGAATAGTAAAGTTATATATACATACATTGTCATAGATCGCTATTACTATTGATTATATTTATTAATGATATGTATGAATGACTCATTCTATTTTATGGCTTATTTGAAGTTTGTTTTGTTTTTTTTTACAGAAAGTTAAAAGACAAAAAAATAATGAAGAAGATTACACAGATGATGAATGGGATAGCTTTTATGGGCCTGTTGGCTCTCCTAATGACAGACGACGAAGGAAATTCTCTGACTCTCCAACGAATTTTCGAGAAGATAACGAAGATAGAGACGACGAAGAAAGAGAACGAAAAAAATTATCAAGAAAGGACACTGAAGAGCTCGTAGAAGACGAAGGTGATAATCGGGCTCCAGGTAGAGGTCGTCGTCGATCAGGGCGAGAGAAAAGTCGTCTTGGTAGGGAAAGAAGTGTTAGGGATAGTCAAAGAGTTTGTAAATACTTTCACGAGGGACGATGTCACAGGGTTTGTATTAAAAATTCTTTCATAAATTTGCGTAGAGTTTATCAAATTTAAGCAAAATTCTAAAAAGTGAGAAATATTTGAATTGTATTAGGAAAATTGTAAATCCGAGATAGTAAGCGATTATTTTAAAATAGTAAAATGATAAGAACTTGGAAACTTTTTTTTCTAGATTCCAAAGTTCAATGGTCGTGAAATTGGCCAAGAGACGAAATATCTTAGCTTTAAGACAAATTTTCCCATTGTTAAAGTTAAAAATTAAAAAAAAGTTATACTACATAGATACAGAGCATACTTGTGTAAGGAATACTTCGAACGGAGACATTCCCCGCAGACTTGTGATATCTGATTGTCCCATTTATCTAAAGATCTCTCATTTATCTTATGATCAAGTCGATTAGAATAATTCTATTTAATCCTGATAAAAGCATACAAGTGGATAGGACGGATGAAACAATTTATAGTACCGGCTCTTTTAAATTGAATTATTGAATAGTTTAACTAGCAAAAGTTAACGACTATTTTCCTCTTCCTGTCTTTTGAATGCTATGTTTGCGTACAAACAGGGTGATAGCTGTAAGTACAGACACGAAAGAGCAAGGCCACTGCGAAGAAAGTTGGAATTGTGTAAATTTTTCCTCAATAAAATTTGTACAAAGGGAAGCGACTGCATTTTTATGCATGGTGACTACCCCTGCAAATATCATCATATGGGAATGACGTGCTATTCTGGAGAATCCTGTAAATTTAGTCATTCAGCCCTGACGGAAGAGACAAAAATTATAGTGGAGAGGGTAATTTTCATTTTCATTTTAATTTCTTTAATAAATAATTTTTGCATATCATTCTAGATGAAATCCGAAAGACGAAACGGTGTTAGCATGGCTAATTTAGACGAGGTGCAAAAAACAAAAGATGATGAAATACCACCTCGTCAAGATCCTCCAAGGAAAAAAGCGCTTTTAGGATCACCTCCCGATCCTTTTAGAAATCAAGAGCGATTGAATTTCAATCCTATGGATCAAAATGTAATTAATCATCCTATGCCTGAAAATCAATTTCCTCAATTTAACGGTCCTCAATCTAATCAATTTAACCCGCAATATAATAATATGAATCCTCCTGGTCAAAGATTTAGTCAGGGATCTATCCCACCGCCATACATGAACCAGAATGCAGAGAGTAAATATAATTTAAATGCTATATTTAATTTATAATAGACTATATGTAATTTTTAATTTTAGATAATCTTGGTGAAGGTGAGAAAAAACAGAGCGCAATACCTTCTATCTTCGATCTCGATGTTAGGCCAACAGCTTCCTTAAATTTGCAAAATTTCGAAAAATGTCCAGCAACACCTCCAGGAGATGCCGATTTTGGATCAGAAGATATCCAGCATATACAACCTCAAAACCTAAACCAAAATCAACAGCAATTTCCAATAGAACCTGATCAGCCTCCATTTATGAATCGAAATGGTCCTATGGGATATGGGCGTCCTCGATTCGAGTCCTTTCCTAGCAGACCGGGCTTGCTCGGAACCGCTCCTGGTATGCCTGGTGGAGGTATTATTCAACAAAATAACATGAATCAGAATATGTACTACAGACAAAATTCAGGACAAGGGCCGGGTCAGGGTCCAAGACCCGACTATGGTCCTGTTGATTCTCTATTGGGGCCTGGTGGTGGGGTTGTACCGCTATCTAATTCTCCTGCTCCGCTTGGTACTGCAAGAAATATTTTAGACGAAGCTCTTTCTTCGGCTAGAAACGAAAGTAATATGGAGAATCACGCTCCTGCTGATCCAAGAAAGAGATCTGATTCAGCTCAAGCATGTCAAGTATCTGCTGATCCTAGAATAAATCAATCATCTACCGTTGCCTCAACTCCCCCTGTATCAGTTCCTGAGCCAGTATTATATAAACCGGTAGAAGATTTTCAAGTATTCTCTGAAGAAGGTGATATAAAGGATTATGTCCTCATAGAAGTATTGGTCGAAGAGCATCAGAGAGCGGGAACCTTGCCCGATAAATTCGAAATCAACGCAGAGAGCCATTATAAAGATGATCCTAGAATTATCAAAGCTTTAAAAAATCGACAAGACAAATCGAAATTCAATCAAAGCACGACACTCCCCGAGCTGCCTGATTTAAACGAAATTCCTAAATCAAAAAGTCTATCAGCCCCGTCTGGTGTAAATATTCCTGCTGCACTTTTGAGACCGCCTTCTCAGGATTCCGTTGATGACCCTCCCAACGCAATTCATAAAAGAACCCTTAGTGCGAGCTCTGACGAGCAAGAGAGCAAAAAGGTTGACGATTTAAGATCATATAGATCAGATCCCCGATTTAAAAAGAAATCAAGAAAATCAGACGCTAAAATTGAAGAAACATTAGAAGAAACTACGATACAAGACGATGATGCTGATAAGCCTCCACCAACTCTATCCGCATTAAATGCAGATTCGGAGGATCCCTCAAGTGGTGTTAAAGAAATGTTTCAAAGCTGGGATCCTACATCATCACCTTTTTTGAGTTGTTCATGATATTTAATGTTTTTGAAAATTGTATAGTTGTGCATAGTTTTTGTGACCGATTTTTTTTAAGAAATGCCAATGGAGTAGATTAAATATTTATTAAAGTTTAACGAGATGCTTTTATTTTCTCACATATCAACTGTACTGTATACATATGCAACATATACAGTATCCTTTGCATGTAAGTTAATTATGTACGTCCGAAGAGAAGTTGATTTTATATATTGTGTGGATTTATATATAGAGTGTTTATATTGCATGTATATTCACACTATAGATAATTCCTTTATAGAAAAACTTCAATCTTAGGAAAATAAATATCAATTATGTTTATCAAATTTTCCTTCAACCCTAATCTCCCGCCCCCTCCCCTCCTCTTTTTTTATTTTTATTCAACAAATAAAAGACTATTGTACATATTTTTTTAAAATATATTTAATAATTATTCAATAAAAGATTCAATTAAAAAGACAAAAAAAACGGCTTCTGTTAATAAAACATCTATGTTATTTAATATTTAAACCTTTATATAAAATATAGATTTATTAGCGAGAAAAATGATATAATATACTGTATACTATATACTGTATATGTAGAAAGTATTAATCCCATCTGTACTATTTGAAATAACAATTTTCTGAATTACTGGAGTTGTGAGAAAACTATTTATCTTTAATAATAATATTAACATCATAAGCAAATCAATTTATAGATAATTAAGATAATTAAAACAATTTTTATTAATTAATTTTCTAGGTAATGGAAAATTCTATGAAAAAGAAAGAATTATACCATTTTATTGTTTTCTCTTCCTTTTTCCCTTTGTTGTTTCCTCCTTTAAAGTTATTACGTCGACGAACTAATCAAAGAGAATAAAAAGACTAAATCAATTGGACAAATAATATTTCGTAGTCAATTGATTTTATTGCTGCTCAAAGACAAACACTATTTTGACTTTTATTAGTTGCATTTTCAATTTAGTTCCTTAGTCATTTCGTTCCTAGTTTTTCACTTAAACAGAACAAGGTAAGTTAACCTTTTTTTTTATTTATTTTATTATCTATTTATATATAATTTTGGAAAAAATATGCAAATTTTAGTGAAAGTCATATGCAAATATATTAAATATAAACGTATCCGTTTAGCTAGGGTATATATACATATTTAGAAATATTGTTTATTGAGTATATAGTCATTTGAAATTTGATAGTAAAAAGTAATTCAAAGATTCCACAGTTGAATATTAAAATAAGATTAGATTAATGAATTTTACTTGCAAAATAAGTTTAGAATTAATCAATCTTTAAAATTTTAACCTACAAAACGGATATATTTACACAAAGTACTGTATTTCTTTATTCAGGACATTGAAATTTTTAATGTTATTTTTCCACTTTCATTTGTTTTTCTGTTGTTTTTTTTTTCTTTCCATTTTACTTTTATCGTTTATTTTTTTTTGTGCGAAACAGTAATAAAGGAAAGGTAAAACATTATTTATGTTTTTTGTTATATTTTTTTTTTAAAAAAAAAAAGAAAAAGAAATTAATTAAGGTTAGTCAACTTTTACTTTGTTGCTATTCTTATTAGAATATTTAAAAGAAAGGAAGGAATATAGGGGTTAATATATTTAAATATAGTGGATACACTACATATTAATATTATATGTATATAGAAAAGTCAAATGGTAAAATATAGTCTAAAAATAACGCTTGGGGGGATATTTTTGTTTATACCTAAGAACAGGTCGATATTGGCTTTGAAAGAGAGAAAAATAATAACAAAAAATACTATAAGAAACTTGACAGGGTAGCCTAAGGGCTAAAAAAATTTGAATGATTTACCAGTTTACGACAATTATATTAGATTTAAGGGATCGTAAAATATAGAGTTTCTTTCGAAGGGGAGGGAAGAGAAAATCTTGTCTTATTTCGTCAAGTGAACGCGTCGAAGCGGCTAATCGCTCAATCATTAATCCTATATTCCACAGTCTAAAGAGACCTTCACTAAAAGAATTTTGTATAAAGTAGTAGAAGGAAAAATTTTGAATACGAAAAAATGTGCCTATTCAAATCTAGACGTAGTCAATTGCTCTGACTCGAGCTTTTGTCAGTTGGCCCGCATTTTTTACTAGGTTAGAACTGAAAAATGAAGAAGTTGAAGATTGTAATATTCCTTTGGATTATCGGATTAGTTAAAGTCGTTTATGTTGGGCCAGATAGCTACAGCTTGTCTATTTCACCAAAGAGGAATTGGAGAAGGAAGAGTAGTAGACCGAAAGAAAATGAGGTTGTGAAAAGACCAACTACAGCTTCCTACTTTCAAAATGATCAGGTAAATCAAAGACAAAAAATTGAGCTAAAAAAGCTTCCTTTTTCATTAATAAATGTAAGATTTCTAATATTAAAAGAGAGCATATTAGTAAAAGAGAAAGTTATTATGCCTTGTATTATGGGAGAGCGAGCGAGATAGAGAGAGCGAAAGGGAGGAAAGAGATAATTAGAAAAAATAGAATAATATGTAATTTGTAATTTCTATTATATTACTAAAAATAACGGAGATAGCAGAATTTGGAGAATTCAATTTTCACTTCGTTTTATCTGATAAAAGGAAATATTTCATTTCTAGCTAAAAATGCTAAAAAAGAAAACAGTAACCTATTTCTTACTCTATTTTTTTAATTCTTAGTTCTATTAATTACTATTAACTTTTCTTTCTATCTAATGCTTTATATAGTATTGTTAATTCTCGTTCTTTTCTTTTATCATTTCTAACTATCTTTCAATTTTCTTTCCCATTTTATCCCTCTATTCTACTTTCTCTCTATCAGGTTTCTTTTCTTGACTTCTTCTCCTTTCTCTCTCTACTCTTTCTACGTGTAGTTTTTCTGTTATTGACCTAACAAAAATTAGATAATTAAAACTTGTATTGACAATATTCTGTCATAATTTGTCAGAAATTTAATTTTATCAGATTTTCTATAGAAAGCAGTTTCGTTTTTCACTTTTTAAATTAAAGAAAGAAGAAGAAAAAGAAGAGAGAGAGAGAGAGAGAAATCTTTTTCATTCATAGATTTTTCATTCAATTATAAATTTATATATTATAATATATGGTTTATAAACGAAACTTATAAAACTACCAGCATTTTCTCCACTCTTATATAAAGAATATACCCTATTACAATTATTTCTATCTGTCTCAATAATTCTATGAAGTCTTTTATAAACTTTTTAAAAGTTTATTCAACTTATTCTTTTATTGAATTGAATAACATTTAGAAAGAGTGAAAAAAGTTTGAATCTTTAGTAATAAATTATTATAATTAAGTGTTAAGAAATCTGTACGAAATAGTGAGAAAAGGTGAGAGAGAGAGTGAGAGAGAGAGAAAAAGAGGTAAAAGGATAAAATTCAAAGATACTTCCGGTTAACTTAATTGCTTTTTCATGTCAGTAGGGTTCCTTATTGAATTTGTTGTTTTAAAAGGTAATTCATCGATATTTGAAGTACTTCAACAAAGGAGCACTAATCTGGCGATGTAAAAATGCTATTAAGTTAGTTCGTAGAAAGGAATATTTACCCTTTTTCGGTGAGATAATTAATGAAATTATCGATATTTATTATAATAATTAATACCAATTATTAATTATAAATAAATAAATAAATATATATATATATATATATATGTATATATTATATATATGCTTATAGATTTGTATTGTGAAACTATTGGATCAATTAAATCCATAAAATGGTATCATAATTCTAAGGAGATTACTGATACAAAAAGACATAAAAAAACAATAAGATCTCACTATGCTAATAGAAAATACTATAATTATTGGCTGGAATTTCGATTGGTAATCTATAATGCCACAAACTCAGATGGGGGAATTTATCACTTTCAGTAAGTTTGCATCAATATGCCCATCGTATATTTTCTTTCAATAAAAATAACTCTTTTATAACTTATCAAATAGCCTTACCAGTAGTAGCGGTAATGTAGAGAAGCGAAAGATTTATGTAGATTTATCAAGAGAGCCCCGCTATAAGAATCATTATAAGAAGAGGAGAAAATCCAGAAGAAAATCTGAAAAGAGAAAAGAAAGGAGGCGGAGAAAGAAGAAAAGAGAAAAGAAACATCATCGGAAGAGGAAATATAGAGAAATGATGTTAAGACGTCGGAATTTTAAAAGAAATTGAAAGATTTTCCTTATGACTAAGGTCATGTTTTTGTTTTTGTTCTCTGGTAAAAACGTGTGCTATTTCGCATTAATAAGTTGATATAGATAGCGAGTTTACTGTATATATTTGAATAATTCTATTCATTTGCATATAGTACATATCTATATTTTGTGAGTTATCTTCGTTAATATCCTTAATTAAGTACAACGAGTCTTTTTTTTTCAAGGTTCCAGATGCTGATTTCTGTGAACCGTGGCTTTTGTTATGATAAAATTTTTTCTATATAAGAACGGTACTTTAGTCTCTCCTCTTAGAGTACTTTTGTGAGATAGATAATACAAGAGATATATTAATTATGCTAAAGTTTTTCATTCTTATCTCTCTAGCGGTTCTATCTGTTGAGTAAGTATCAAGTATTGTCAATTTTATCATTTTACGTATAATCTGCTCCTCAATAAAAGTGAAGCAGGAAGGAAGAGAGAGAAAGAGAAAAAAAAAACAAGACAATTATGTGATTATTTTTAAATAAAGAGAAAAAATTTTTCTTAGCATCTGGTAATGCATCCAATTTTTTTTAATATTTAACAAGATAAGTTCAAGGATAGCTATTTTTAGATTGTTATAGTTGTTATTCTTAATACTGATAAGGAACTTGCTTAAGCA